ACACACACACACACACACACACACACACACACACACACACACACACATACATATACACACACATACATATGAATTAGTAAAATATGACACTGATGTATAAAAAAATAAGCAAAGGAGATTGCGACCTTTGACCTTTCATTTCGTCTGATCATGAAACTACCAAATCTGTTACCACTTTATTGCTTAAAAAAAGTTTACGACAACACTGCAAACGCTAATTTGGACAAATAGAAATGATGGTCCGTGGTCCTAAACATGCTACCATTTTGCAAAAAAAAATAGAAAAAAAGAAAGACCTATAATCCAGACCTAAAAAGCTGGCGCAAAGTGGGAGGCTCAACGTATCCATGTACGTGGGTCTGTGTGTGTGTGAGTGTATGTGCATATGTTTGTCTGTCTATCTTTGCATGTGTGTCTGTCTGTCTGTGTATATGTGTGCGTATTTGAATGTGTGTTTGTATCTGTGGTGTATGTGTGTGTGTGCATGTGTTTATGTGTGTGTGTGTGTGTGTGTATGTGTATGTGTGTATTTATATGTAGTAGTTTTGGGAATAGTTGATAGGATCGATTTGAAGTAGGAAATTCGGAGAAAAATATGATTACTGTCAGATGTCTCCATTTATTCCATCCTTTATGATCATATTGATGGAGAAAAAGAATGAAGGAAAAAATGGCTTAATAAGTGCAATATATTTTTTCGATTGCCTACCAAGTACATTTCATTAATTCTCAAATACATACAAACATACATAGACACATACATACATACACACATACATGCATACACATACATATACATATACAGACATATATTTCCAAGAGGAGTGGATAAATTTCAAAAACAAAAAAAAGGTCAAACAAAATTTCCCATTTTTTCCCTTTCATTAAAAATTGTTGCGAAATTTTAATTTTCAAAATTTTACTTTTTCGTCTTTTTTTGCGCTAAATTTTCTCCTTTTTTATTTAATTGATTTTCTCAATTTTATAATTTTAATTTGCAAAATTTAGCACTGAATTAAAGAAAAAAAAGTGGTAATAAAATAATATTCCGTAAAAATTTCTTTTTTTTTCGCTTGAGTGAAAAAAAAAATGCGATGTGATCAATGATCTTTGTCGCATGCTTTTATTCATTCCCTTTTCAACATTAATAAAACAACGAACACATTATGACAATTGATATTCACACCATTTGACAGATAATTGTGATAGTGAAATTGAATTATGGACTACAATGTAGACTGATGAGTCATGACCTGAATCGAATTTATCCAGTTTACGTGAGGTAACATTTATCGATTTCTTTAGAAATTCTGAAATGACATAATGATTGTACAAGCTTCAATGACCATATTATTAATGAAAGGTGAAAAGAAAAAAAGACTAAATTATAAGTATTTGAAAGAGTAAGCGAAGATAGTACCGAGTAGTAGTAGGCTTAATATCTTTTTTCTTCTTTCTATTTCATATTTACCTGATTTCTCCAATCTTTTGCTTATTTTTTATAAGCATACAGCCATATGAATTCTCATTCTCTCAATTTTTTTTTAAATCATTTTAGCTATACGATCATTAAATTTTGCAGATAAATGATATGCGCAAATGGTTAATTGATAACATGAAAGAGAAAGGAAACAAGATGAGTTATGCATCGTATAGTTGAAATAAAAAAAAATAATAAAATGATAGGAATTCTTATAGCCGTATGCTTATAAATGTGTGAAAAAATTAGGAGAAATCAGATAAATGTAACCGGAAAAATGAAAAAATATACTAAGGCCATAGGTACTATTATCGCTCGAAAAAAAAATCATATATGAATTTTTTTTTCAACAAATACCTATAATGTTGACGCAATCTTGAAAAAAATGATGAAAATAATCAAATGACCGATTAATTTTTCTTTAAACAATTAATTAACTTTAGATTGAAAATTCGCCATATAAAATGCATTTGATAAATGTTTATTTTGCATAATTTTAGTTTTAGGAATTTTTGGAAATGAAGGATGAAATGAAATTCTTTTTCGAGAGAATTTCGTTAAAAAAAAGATTCGAGAAAAAAGTAGAGGAAAGACTGAAATTTCAAAATAAATTAAAGTAACTTCGAAAGATTTTTATCATTCTGTGGCATTTGAATGTTCAAGAAATGAGGGAACATTATTTGAGCAATGATATGATTAGAATTTCAGCATGGAAATCAATAAATTTATTAAATTACAGAACGAAAAATGATTTTTTATTTTTTTAGAAGAAAATAAATTTATTTTTATTTTTTCTTTTTTCTTTCAAATGAGCTTCTGAAATTAGGAACAGACCCTGATTGTTGATAAAAAGTTAAGTTTGATTAGATTGTAATATTATCGGGTAAGGTGATTTTGATGGATATGATCATTGATTAGATTGTAATATTATCGGGTAAGGTGATTTTGATGGATATGATCATTGATTAGATTGTAATATTATCGGGTAAAGGTTGATTTTGATGAATA